AATCTGTGAGGTTAACCAAGGGTTGCCTCCCTTAAAAAATTAAAAAAAAAAAAAGAAAAGAAAAACTTGGAAATATGTCAACTTTGAGTGAAGTTATAGAAAATCAAGTTTTTATGCTCAAGTCTTTAAAAAGTCTTGAAAGCAGAAAATCAAATGTTGATTTATGACTGACCTTTCTGTTTACTTCCTGTTCTTTCTCTTAAGATGTTAATAAACGAACATGTCCATATGTCTGAATAACATGTTCATTTCAGTCTTTCCAGTATAGCTTAACTATAATCCTGACATTAAAATATGAGCAAATCTAAATTAAATAAGATCAATTTTTGTGGCCATAACTGGCTTCCTCATTTTATGAGCTGTATAAGATAGAAAAAATAATTTTCTATCATGGCAACCTTGATTAATTCAGTAACATCCTTATTTATCCATGTACTTGAATACATCTTGTTTCACAGTTGCAGCCTGGATCAGCTATGGAAATCGGTGCTAATAAATAAATGATAGATTAAGTAGTGAAGCATATGGTGATTAAAAAGTGAAAGTTTTATTGCTTCTCGGCCTTTAGCTAAGATCAGGTGTAAAAAATGAAAGTTTTGGCACATTAAAACATTATACATTCTTTACTGGGCAAGAGCTAAAGTTTAGTACCACCTGGCACCTCCAATCTAAAAAATATCTTCCTTCATCTGTCCATCTTTCTCTTCTCAAAAGTACAACTTGTACAGGATGTTGAAATATTCCCTAAAAATATGTTGTACTCTAAAGCATTTTGTAAATTTTCACATTAGTTTTACAGACATTGTCTATTTTACTCCTAGAATCTCCTGTCGTATAGACAGGGCAGGTATTATTTGTCCCAATTTAAAAATGAAGAAATACAGACTAAGAGTCTGACAGCAAGAAGACAAAAACCAAAGGCTTAAAATTCATTCTTCTGAAATTAAATCCACCTATAAAAGCCCCCTGAACATCAAGGTAACTGTTTTCAATCTCATGTTAAAAATCCAAGACCTTTATGCAGTTCCAGAAATGAAGAGTTAAGGTCTTCTTGCTTCTTTCCTAACACATTTAGTGGCCTTAAATATTTAGAAAGGTTATGTTGCTCTAACTTGCTCTCTCAGTTGGTTCCCTACCACTTAAATTTGTTTTAGTTTTTTTCAGTAATCAAAAGAGAAAACAAAAAGGTAGAAAACATTGGTTCTTAAGCTCATTATTAGACCATAGTGTTTTAAATAATTCTTCTGATAGAAAATGGTTTCTTTCTAGCCAAGGTTCTGAAATGGCCTCGCAAGGACGGGAACTGGCCAATCATTTCCAGAGTGAAGGAACTCCAGTAATGATCGGTACGGTGTTTGGATATCTTGGGCTCCTTTGGTAGAGTGGAGAGTATGTAAAACTTACCATTAATATAAATATTTAATGTCACATAAAATCAGTCATTTTAGAACATTTTAAAATTAGCTTTTATACCGTACAGATTGACCTCTGGATATTTTAAACTTTGCAAGGCAGGAGGAAAGTTATAAAAAAGATTATAATAACCAAAAGAAAAGGCTAAGAAGAGAAATGATAACTGTGTTCATATAAAGAGTTGAAAGCAGTATGGAAAAGAGGTTATGGTCACTCAACTGAGCACCCTATGTCCTTTCTGTCACTAACTTGGCTGGCTGTGTTGCATTATTGCTAATTGCTTAACCTCTGGGCTTTATTTGTAAAATAAAGGATTGGATTAGCTATTCTAAAGATTTGTGATTCTGTGAGGAATAAGACTTGTTCATTGATGGCAGAAAGCAAGCTAAGAGGGGTATGTAGAAAATGGAAGTAGGCTAATTTCAGCAGAATATCAGAAAGAACTGAATGAGTGGATGGCTTCATGGGAAGTACTCAGAGCAGGGGGCGCACGCCCATCTGCTGAGAGTGGTACCAGCAGTGATTGTCACTGTGTTCAGAGTTTAGTGCCCTCTATGGCACTTCCTAAATCCACTTTAGATAATTTTGTGGCTATGGCAGTGGAATATAAACCTTATATGATTATAGATATGATAATATCTTTTCTATCTTAAGGATATGATTTTATCTTTTCAGAATGTATTTGACATTGTGGTCTTTCATGATATAGGCTAGTCAAAATTTTAATGCTGTTAGGTCAGTTAATCGTTTTAAATTGAAATTGAGTAGGAAGTTATTAACATACACCCTCTCATATTTCATATTTCCTCTTCTGTAGGGGGAGGAGTTTTGGCCCACACCATACTAGGAGTTGCATGGAATGAGATTACAGGGCAGATAAAATTTCTGATTTTAGACCCACATTATACAGGTGCTGAAGATCTGCAAGTTATTTTGGAAAAGGTAGGTATCTGTTTAACACAAATTTACATGCAAGGCAAAGGATAGTAAACTGGTTGTTAACAAAAAGAGTACAGACTGAGGGCAAAGATCCTCCCTGTAAGGAGGTATCTCAGGCTGTGACACTCTCTAGACAGGGGGTACCGGAGGGAACTAAAGTAAAATTGCAAAAGACAAAATTTAGTTTAGATTTATATAAAGACTCTCTCAGTTATTAAACTTAATAATGGGACACAAAGCTCATAAATGTATTCCTATCGAAATTTTACTGCTTTGCATAAATAAATATATTATGGTTTATCAATGCCTTGAAATTGGAGAGTGGGGTATATAACCTTTATAATTTTAGAAATTAGCGAAAAATAGCTGAGCAATATGTTGGATATTACGGAGGCTTGACTATTTTTAATTTATTTACATATAACTTAATCTCATTCTATAAGGGATTTGAATAGAATAATGGAATTGCTCTATTAGCACATATAAGAAACCATGAAGCCAATGCTTGGCTATCAGTAGAACTATTAACTCTCACATAACTCAAGAATCTAGGGCACTGTCTTAGTCCATTCGGGGTGGTATAACAGAATACCATATACTGGGTGGCTTATAAACAACAGAAATTTATTTCTCACAGTTCTGGGGACTGGGAAATCCAAGATCAAGGCACATGCAGATTCACTGAAGGCCTTCTTCCTAGTTCATAGACAGCAGTCTTTTTCACTGTGTTCACTTGTTGGGAGGGATGAAGGACCTTTCTAGGGCCTCTTTAATGAAGGCACTAATCCTATTCCTGAGGGCTTCACCTCCATAACCTGGTTACCTTCCAAAGGCCCCAACTTCAAATATCATCACATTGGGAATTAGTTTTAACATATGCATTTTGGAGGGACACAAATATTCAGTCAATAGCAGGGGCCTTTGGGAAAGTTCTGCCTCTGCCTCAACCCTCTTGTGAAACTTTCCTGTTTGACATTCCCAGGCCAGTCACCTCAAAGGAAAGAAGCATGGCTCCCCTATCTACTCTCATCTATTTCTGGTTTGGGGACCCTTGCTACTCACTTCTCTTTAAAAACATTGACTCTGGTTACCTGGAGAAGGCCTACATGTGTGAAAGGATCCCAAAAAGATTAAACAGAAATAGAATAAGCCTTTTTTCTATTTATCATTAAGAAAACAGATTTTAGGACATTAAATTAATTAGAGTTTTGCTAAAGATAAGCTTATTTTTGTATAGAAACAGGTCTCAAACAGAATCAACCAAACTTAATGGCTGGGAGCAGTGGGAGTAGGAATGGTAGAGGATTTTAAAAATTTTTTTTACTTTCATCTCGCTTGCATTTTTACAATGTGTACCTTATTTCTGCAATCAGAAAAAGAAAAATGAAAGAATTAAGAGCATCTCCACTCAATCCTCCTGCCTCCACACTAGAAAAGAGAGCTAACACACCATCTTCTGTAAGAACTATGAACTTTGACTTTAGGTCCCCGCCAGAATAACCTGAACTTCTGAGTCAGTCAGGATAAGGAATAAGACTTCTACTGGTCACTCACTCAGTGATATTTTAAGAGTCCTAGCTAGCCTCCTCACAAGTATTTTGCAAACAAAGCATTTCATTTCAGAATGATATAACACAGATTAGTTGTTAGCTGTGTCTTTAAGAAATCAATGGCCCTAGAAGAAATTTGATAAAACTTTTATATTCACAATGAGATTTTGTTTGAAAGTAATTTTCTCTGCTGTGGTAAAGGATTGATACTGACATAGAGAATGGAAAATGGAATGATTACAGCCTGAGGGAAATGAAGGGCGTGGAATGCAATTTAAGGGGCAAGCTCAGATTTCTCACTACCATATTTCCTCATAGCTCAGATGCCTCTGCGTGATACATATTACAGTCTTTTATGGACTGCTAAGAAAAACAAACTGCTAATTAAGCTATCACATGCCATCCACTGCCAGAATTGTAAACCGATATATCTTAGAATTAATAAAATGTGGAATTTGGAGTATAGTTACCACAAGGAAGCTTTTCTCTTTTTTTTTTATGATTTCTATGATTAAATACCATAGAATTTAAAAAAATAATAATTCTATCTGAAATAGAAATGAGTTACTTTTCTATGCTTTATAGGAATTCAGGTCTTTGAATTATATAGGTATTTAGGGTCTTATTCCACGATCCTGCTGACAGAGCAGGATTGTAAAATGTTACAATTTTGATCCTATAGACCCGTAACTATAAAATGTTTTCTTTTCCCTTCTTTCAAATCTAGGGCTGGTGTGGATGGAAAGGCCCAGATTTTTGGAACAAGGATGCTTACTATAACTTATGTCTTCCTCAGCGACCAAATATTATTTAAGATATCTTGGAGTCAAAGACAGTAGTAAGTTTACTATAAATTTAATAAAAAATACATTTAATTTCAGATTAAATCCTGGGTGTAGTTTGATGGTTTAACCTATAACTTTTGTCAAAGGTTGTAAATACTACACAAAAGAATTTATTCTTTAGACATTCCTTTAATGACTTAACAGACAAAGAATGCACAACCAAAATATAACAGGCATGTAAATACATGTATTCTTAAAGGTTATCTTCACTTAGAAGAAAGTTTTCCTCCTTCTTAGAAGGAATTTAGACCTGATGAGCGACATGCCATAGCTTATAGCTGAACAGTAGATCTGCACGAAGTGAAGGCCTCTTCAAACCTCTTCATAACCAACATGACATCTATTGTTGAAAAACATAGGCAAGTTTTTAATACTAAAAACTTTTTCAAAGAGTTGATCTCTCCAAGCTTTCACCTTGCAGGACAATTTTTGGTCTCTAGAATTGAGTAGCAGTTACTATAACCAGTATTAAAATGTTAAATGAGGATGAAAAGATATACTAGAAATAAGACTGCTAATATTCAAATGAATCAGTAAATTCTGGGCTAAATAAAGAGATCCTTGAGGGAAGAAGAAACAAACTATGAGTTACTTACCAACACTTCCTTTTCCCATTTGTATTTTCTGCACTTCCAAAACTTCGTTTCAGTCTGAGCATTGGAACACAGTGATCTCTATCGGATTGTTCACTTGGTGTTTTTGTCTGCATACATTTAATTGTTGTAAGAAACTTAGCACATTCTGGAAATCCATATGACCAAGCAAGATCTTCAGCTGTTTGCCCATTCTTATTACATAAACTGAATTTAAAACAAAAATTGAGTTATAAAAATTGACAGTTGTTTAGCCTTTTTAAAAAAATACCTTCCTAACAAAGGAGCTTTGGGCTCATACAAATGTTGATTGCAAATAGAAGAGGTAAAGGAAGCATAGAGAAATTCCATTTTTGCTCACTATTGTATCTTCAGTGGCTAGCAGAGTCCAGCAAGAGTGGGCATTCCAGTTTTGAATGAATGAAAGAGTATTCTGTGTTCAGTACAATGAATAAGTACCAAAGTCCGTGAGAACTTCTATAGAATGTTTTCCTAAACCAAAACTAAGGTGTAATACTGCCATAATAGATGAGCAGAACTATGCCTCTGATTGCTCAGGATCAGTTTTTTATTTATTCAGATTGAATACTAGCAGATGTTAAACAGTTAGAGTTAACATTTAAATAATAACACTAAATTATCAATTAAGCAAGCATCATTTTAAAAAGCACATGTAATTAAGCTTCAGCAGTCTGATTAATTTAATACATTTTAAAGCCACTGAGTTTATACTTACTCAATTTGGGCATCACTAGCTACAAGCAGGCTAAGGCATTCCAGGCTTCCAACTTTTGCTGCCTTGTGTAGTGGAGCTTCTCCAAAAACATCCTTAAAGATAAGACAGCACATTTTAGTCTCTCCTCAAAACACCCAAGTTGGTGGGTGAAGTCTATTTATTGTTTGAGGAAACTATCTGAGGTAGTTACATTGTACTGGACTGAATTTTTTCTTCAATTTTTTTTTTTTATAAAGTTCATTTGGTATGCTGTTAAGTACAAAGTTTTCATTAATAAATATGTGCAGCCACATATATTAAAATTTAAGTAAATAAAAGCAAAATAGAGTTCTAAAGAAGTAAAAAGTTTATAATTTAAAATTCACCATACTTTATTTAGTCAATGAAAGATGCAGACTACCATAACAAAGTTCTGTAGGAAATTATAATGGTCGTGAGCATGCCTCACAAATATTTCAGTTGCTATACTGAGATTTTTCATTCGATGATGTCGTAATTGTACCTATGTATGCTTCCAGTGTACTAGCTGGTAGCCGTATATATTTCTAATGAATACTTGTAATGTGGCTAGTCTGAACTGAAATGTGCTATAAATGTAAAATACACATAGCATTGAGAAAACATATGAAAAGAAAATGTAAAATATCTATCAGTAATGTTTTATATTGATTACATATTGAAATAATACTTTGGATAAATTGGGCTAAATTATAAAATTAATTTCATGTTTCATTTTACATAATGTGGCTATTACAAAATTTTAAATTACGTTATGTGTCTTGCATTATATTTCTATTGGACATCGCTGCTATAGACATGTTTATAACAACTGAATATTTTGGCGTCTAAGAAATGTTTATGTGGATTTGGGGTGAGGGGAGGGGTGCACACACACAGTAACAATCTGTTACCTAGTTACCTGTTGGTTGAGGTCAGCGCCCATTTGCAACTGCCAGAGGAGCAAGCAAGCACAGCCACCACCTGCGGCCAAGTGGACAGGCGACTGCTGGCAGGGATCCGGGGGTGCATTGACGGAGGCCCCGGCCTCCAGCAGATCCTTCAAACTATCCACCTGCGGAAAAATAACAGCTCCAGCATCCCTCTTGCCTTTGTCCTGTCCCACGCCCGCCTGGGGTTGAAAACCTTCTAACTAAAGAAGCTTGACTCAGCAGCACCCAGTGGTCAGTCCACTGTCACCCGTGCTAGCGCTCCCAAGAAGGCAGACATCTGGAAGCTTAAGCCTGTAGGACAAAAAGGGCCCCAGTCTTACCTCTGAGTTGAAATCAAGAAACAGCATTTCCCCACCTAAAGCAGAGGACAGGAGTCCTTGGGCGTGCAGAGCGGTGTAGCCCTTGCTGCACACTGGCAGGTAAGAGTGCACAAGCAGCCCAAGTGCGGGAGAATTTAAAGATCTCCGAGGCAGGCTGGCTGGCGGGCCCCTCACTGCTGCGCCCCAGCTCTGGCAGCGCTCCAACAGCCTAACCCTTGGCTGCGGTGCCCTTCCCAGCCCAGCGGCTGCCGCACGTACACAAACACTGGCATGTGCAACCCGGAACCAGGGGCTGCTGGCTAGGTGGAGGGAGGAGGAAGCGGCGCGGGCCCGCCAGCCGATTGGGAGCCAGGCCCGCCCGCCTGTGGGCGGGGCCCTGGCACCCCACCCCACCCCCCCACGGAGCCCTGTGCGCTTGCGCCAGGGAAGGCGGCCTCGGAGCTGTTGGGACTCAGCGGCATCCATAAGGCACGCAGAGTTTGACACGTCTCACACTAGCGTGCCCAGCATTTTAGTCCCTGTGGAGAAGTGGGAGTCGCGGACGAATGTTTTGGTTTCTGCTAACACGCACGTAACCAGGAAACGAGGGAGCAATAAGGAGCCCTACAGCACCACCTTTGGAAGAGACTAAGCGTGGTGCTGGCGCCGTGTCCCCCGCTCTCAGCTCCGGAGGAAAGAATGAGGGTTTCTTATGCCTTCAAGTTCAAAATGGCCCCAGCTCGCTTCTGTTACCTACAACCAGGACAGTTAAGAAAGAAAACGAGAGCCGAGGGGTGTGGGGAGTACTGTGAGCTAAGGGCATAGGTTTTACCACAAGGACTGTCCCACCCCCAAACTTAAATGATTTATCAAACCTGACCCATTTGGGTTTAAGATGAAACCATGCCCATATTGAGAAATCCTGTAAAATAAACCAACCACTGTATCGTGTTCCCTCCTGGAGATAGGTTAAAATACACTCCTGGACTTGTCCTTTGAGGAAATAGAGAAAGTCCAAGCTATTAAACTTGAGCTTGCTGAGACCGGGACGACAGGAAGGAAGGGGAAACGTGTGTTTGCCCTCACACATGGAGAGAGTTCACAGATAAATGAAGAGACCCAGGCCAAGGGCTTTTATGACATTGGGCTCCTCCCCACTGGCAGGGCTTACTGAACATCTGAGCTGCTCAGGGGGGAAAGCAGGGGTGGGGGAAATGGCTCTCTTGGAGCTCTTTATACTGTTTAACTTAAGTTATTCCTTTTTTGTAAAATTTTAGAAACAGACTTCCTGACTTCAAATTGTAGCCCTTGACCGCATGTATAATCTCTTGATTATCTTTTCTTAAGCACTGTTTTAGCTTTATCTAGCTAAAAACTAAAGCTCCAGTCATATATTTCCTTTCCCTAAAAAAGTCTTCAGTGAGTCCCTTCTATCTACTGATACTTTTGAAGACTGAAAAATAGATATGTTTATTATTATGCTTCTCTAGGACAAGCTCATTGTTCTCTAAAAGTAAGTAGCCTTTCGGTTATAATTTTGGTTACAGCATATTGTTTATTATTATAATTTTGGTTACAGCATATTATTTTTTAATAAGAGCCATACGATAATTTTGCAATGATAAATTTATATTACTGTACTGATGGCACTGACCCAAGGGGTAGTTTTAAACATTTTTATTCATATGCATGCTTGAACTTAGATGTGGATATATATTCAAACACATATAGAAACATGCTTTCGTTCTGTATTTTTTATATTTAAGCTATTTACAGTTCCTTTTTATGATATTTAAAGAACATACTGCAAAGATATTGTCAGATAAGGAGAACACATGTCCATATTGCCAGTTTGCCTTTTCTCATGTTTATCAATTAGGTAAGCACTTTTTTTTAAAGCATATAATTAAGCTTCAGGTTTGCACAGATGTTTATTTTCAGGAATTCTTAACTAATACAAGGTATTATCAGAGAAGTTCTTAGTTCTAAACATATGTACTGCAATTAACATATAATGGGATATTTGTGTGATGAATGTGCCTACATCCTTTTCCTTTAAAAGAGGATTCTGTTCAGCATGCATTAAGTCTGGTAATTATTGTTAACTTCCTGTTACATATGTAAGTTTCACAAGGAAAGAGAATTTAGTGAATTGTTAAATCTTTCCTCCCTTTAATCACTATGCACTTGCCCACTGTCTTATCTAGGTATCCAGTTTACCCTTAGTAATGGGCCTAAAAGCTTTCTTAAAACTGAACAAAGCTAGTGGAGCACAAAAATACACAGAATCAATACATTTGTAGGACAATATCTTATTGACAAGTGACTGGAGTTTTTAGTAAACATGTAGCCAGTGGGATCAATTTTTTAAAAGAGGAAGATAGTCTAAGATGCATATTCAACATGTACTCTTCTAAGCAGTGCTAGTTCCACTTTTGTTTAAGTTACTGGTAAAAGTGTTTCCAGAAGGCAGATGTCATTCGAATGAGCGCTTAAAAAGATGTTGAATGATGATTAAGTGACCAAATGAATGAAAAATATGTGCTGAGTCTTGAAGGGTATATAAGAGTTCGCTAGGTAGTTCAGGAAGGGCAGAGTATTTCTAAGAAGTGTAAAATATTTTCCAGTGTTGAGAGAACTGTGTGTAAAGTCTGATTGCAGTAAATGTTACACATACAGCAGTGATGTGAAATAAAGAAAAAGATTTACAAATGAGAAGTTATATTAAATGATCCCTAATGTCGATTCCAATTTATTATTATAGTAAATTGATATTGAGCACTTACTATGCCCAAAGATTAATACAAATAGGTATTATTATCTTCTTTTTACAGGAAAGGAAACTCAGGCTTGGAGGGATTCAATAACTTGTCTAAGGTGATATCATTATTAAAGGGTGGAGCTGGAACTCAAGTAGTTTGACTACAGAGCCCACATTCTGATTATAGCTACATTTTAAAATAATTTTGGTCTTTGTTGGTAAATTCAAAGCTATTAAGATTGGCTTCTTTAAGCAAGAGAAAGTCCTTAGAATTATTACAATCCATAGAAAAACAACTCTTTCATATAATGATGGATGTTAATGTAGCCTTGTTTCTAGAATTGAATCTCCCACAGTGTTTAGTCCAGTATTTGGTGGAACCAATACATAGGCTAATTTCATCTGTTTTCTGTGTGCCTTTGTTGACCAAAAAAGTGATTGCAAAACATTCCCTAAGTGTACAGCATTGAAAGGAGGAGTGTTTGGCAATACCTACTAATCCCCATTTATCATTATTATATAAAATGTAATTAAATTATATATAATTAGTAATAATTCCATGTAAAATTCTATCTCTAAAGCAAATAAAGTAATATAAAGTAAAACTAAAATTCTCAATAGTTGGCTTGGTTTCACATGTTTTACTTAAATCTCTTGAGAACTTCCTAACTTCAAAACATTTTCAAGTTATATTCATCAAACACTTCTGAGTATAACGTCCTTATTGTTTATTGCCAGTCATTCCACTGAGCCTTAAAAGGAACTAAATATTTTATTATTAAAAATGAAGTATGGCAAATATACTTATGTAGCTCATATACTGAAGATGATATATCACTCTAGATAAGAAATCTTCAAAAACAGAAAGTGATAGCCAGATTTGAAATTTCAATAAAGGGTCCTTGGTTTTCAAAGTTTATTGAAAATGACTTTGAATTAATCGAATATAATTTAGGCCTTCGTTGGCATTGGCAGTCAGGAAACCCATGATCCCAGTATGAGTGTAAAAACAAAAGGATTTCCCACAAAGAAAATTTTTATTCACTTTAATAAACTCTTTCAGCTTTGATTACTCAAACTTCTTGGGGAAGGTGATAAATTGTATAGTAATTCTAAACAATTGCTGCACCAGGACATTGTGGCACAAAAAATTTAAATAGATAAAGGATACTCATCCTCTTCCATGATATTTAATTCCTAAGAGCCTATAATCTCGAGGGCTCTGATCGGTTCAATGGTAACATTTATTTAAATGTCTACTTCTTCATTGTTTTGATAAGAACTAGGAAAACTTGGAGGGTGTCATTATTTTGTCATTTCCCCTCTTAGGCATGTGTCTTCCTCCTTTCAATGAAATGTTGTAGAAATTACCAATAATTAATTCATAAAACCGAATGCACTAGGGGAAAGAGCAAAAAATTGGTCTTTAAAATTAAAACTTTAGATGGGAAGAGCTAGGTTGCTATTGTTTGAAAGGGCAGGTCCCAGGTAAGCAAGTAGAGAAGGCTATAATGAGCCATATGGTCCTGGATTTGTTGAAGACACAAATATGAACACAGCTCAATATAGATACAAATGGATAGATACTGAAATAATTATGTGTGTATACATAATACATTTCTTAGTTCTGCCTACTGTAAGAGGGCCTAGAAGCAGTGACACCCCAGTAGCAATGAACACAGCTAGTGTTCAACCTTGGTTTCTAATATATTCTTCCAGTAAAAGAAACCAGAGCTCCTTGGAGAAACTGCTGATACTAAGGGAGGGGCAGGGAAAATACAAGATGAGCCTGGAGCATTTTGTAGTGCTAGAAAGTAAGGAAGTGCTCAAAAACAAAAGGATGGGTACATGTCAAAGGGATACAGAAATCAACCTGAAAGAACTCCCAACGGCCAAAGTTGGAACAACCTGAACAACATAATTTACTGTTGGATTAGAATTCAATAAAATAGATATCCGTGGTCCATACTGATATAAATAATTGAATAAATAAAGAAACGTGAGAGAAAAGACAATTCTTCCTTACAAAAAAATTCTAAACACTTCCTGTAGAAACTTCGTGCTCCAGGAAGTGGAGACCAATCATCCCCTCACCCTGCCCACTTGAGTGTTGGTTACACATAATGACTTGCTTCCAAAGAGTAGAATCTAGGAAGCGGGGGAAAAACGGTAATTTTACAGTGGAGAAACCTCTCAAACACTGCCTTGGCCAGATAATTGTTAATATCAGTGATAAGTCATGCTAATAGCATGCACACCTGGCATGATGTGGTGAGGTCACTTTGCCTCTTGATATTCTTTCCTAAAGCCCATAACCCAAGTCTAGCCATAAGTAAAACATCAAATAAACTCAAATTGGGAGACGTCTGTGGGATAGCTGACCAGTATTCCTCAAAACTCAATGTTATAAAAAACAAGTAAAATCTGAGAAACTCGCAGACCAGAGGGGGCTAGGAGACGTGATGACTAAATGTAGTATGGTCACCTGGACGGGATTCTGGAACAGAAAAAGGATATTAGTGGAAAACTAGTGAAATTAGTGAAATCCAAATGTAGGGCTTACTTCATGGTAATGTACCAATTTTGCTTTCTTAGTTATGACTAATATACCATAATACTGTAACATTAACGAAAGAAGAAACAGGGTGAGGGAATTCTCTGTGCTATCTTTGCAACTTTTCTGCAAATCTCAAATTATTCTAAAATATAATGTTTATTCTAAAAAAGACTCTAGGTAACAAAATTAAACCACTGAGTGAGAAGCGAGAGCTGTAATTCTTAAGAAAACTAAATTGAATGCTTTCAAAGTTATCAAGTTGCTGAGGAAAATGCTTTCAAAGTAGGTGAGGATGAATTAACTGTAAAAGATGAAGAGAAATAGTTCTACACTACATTTACAATGGAGCCAACAAGAGTATATGATTTTGCACATCCAATTAGCACCTATCTCCAGGCAAGAGAGTACCTTTACCAGAAGGCTCTTATGCTTCCAGCATTAGGCCTTTACTCTCAACTTCATGAAGGACATCGAAGCAACCTAAATGCCCATCAACGGACGAACAAAGAAAGTGCGGCAATTACACAAATGGAATATTTTTAGCCTTAGAAAGGGAAATCCTGCCATTTGTGATAACCCGAATGGACCTGGAGGACAAGTGAAATAAGCTAGACACAGAGGTACAAATATAACATGATCTCATTTATATGAGGGATCTAAAATAGTCAAACTTATAGAAGCAGAGAGCAGAATGGTGCTTACCAGTGGTTGTGGGGAGGGGCCAATAGGAGGGGGTATAGAGTTTCAATTATGTAAGGTGACTAAGTCCTAGGGATCTACTATACAGCATAGTGCCAATAATTAACAATATTCTATTGTATACATAAAAATTTGCTAAGAAGGTAGATCTTATGTTTAGTGTTATAAATAAATAATAAAAAAGTGGGAGGAAACTTTTGGAGGTGATGAATATATTTAGCATTGATTGTGATGGTTTCATGGCTGTACATTTATCTTCAAAACTTAAGTTGTATACATTAAATATGTATTTACAGTTTTTTTATGTCAGTCACTGTAATAAAGTGATTTTTAAAAAAGAAAAAAATTACAATAAAACATTTGAGAATATTTTTTAAATGGACTTCCTCAAAATTTAAAAAATGAAGTGTCAAAAGAAACTATGAAGGAAGTGAAAAGACTCCATAGAATGGGAGAAAATATTTGCAAATTATTTACCTAATAGGAGTCTACCATCTAGAGTATATAAAGACCTCTTATAACTCAACAATAAAAAGGCAAACAACTCACTTACAAAATGGGCAAAGAATTTAAATAGACATTTCTCCAAAGAAAATAAACAAATGGCTAATAAACACATGAAAAGATGCTCAATATCATTCTTGATTAAGGAAATGCAAATCAAAACCACAAGATACCACTTCACATTCACTAGGCTGGCTGTTCTCAAAAAGATGAACTACAATAATAGGTGTTTATGATGATGTGGAACCCTTCCTTGTACATTGCTTAAAGGGATGTAAAATGCTGCAGCCACTTTGAAAATCAGTTTGGTAACATCTCAAAATCTGAAACATAGAATTACCATATGACCCAGCAATTCCACTCCCAGGTACACACTGAAGAGAACTGAAAACATATGTCTAAACAAAAACTAGTACTTGAAAACTACCAGCACTATTCCAAAAGCTGGAAACAGTCCATATCTTTTAAGTGATATGTTCATATAATATTACTTGGCCATAAAAAGAAATTAAGTACTGATACATACTACAACATGTATGAAACTTGTAAACATTATGCTAAGTGAAAGAGGCCAGACACAAAAGACCACGTATTGTATGATTCCATTTATATGGCATATCCAGAATAGGCAAATTTATAGAGACAGAAAGTATAGTATATTAGTGATTGCCAGGGGTCTAAGAGAGGGAGAAGATTGGGAAATCACTCTTTTAGAGTGATGAAAATGTTCCAGAATTAAATATTGGTGATGACTGCACACCCTTTGCCTTTAACATTTCCAGCAGCTAGAGATGGGGCAATAACTAACTAGTGAAGAGGATTTAAGAAGGGCACCATCAGCGTCCACTCCACCTGCACTTCCCTTTAAAATCGTAGATTTCTTTCAGATTTTATATCAGCAATGTCTACAGTTTATATTAGAGGATTTTCTAAATTCACTGTACTTTATGCAAACAGTTGTCAAGATTCAAATGGTGTTATATATAATGACAAAGTTTGACAGTAATAAACACATACTCTTACTTTTCAAAATCTCTTAGCTCTCATTTTTTGAAATTAAAAATACTAAATTTTGGTTTACCCTCTTGCAGGAGGCCTGCCATTTTAAAAGCTCATATTAGTTTTGCTTTTTGGAGAACAGTATAGAATAATGATGAAGTTCACAGGTGCTAAGGGCATCCCGGCTGTCCTACCTCCTAGCCTATAGCCTGAGGCAAGTTACCTAACTTCTTTACTGTGCCTCAGTTTCCACATTTGTTAAATTTCATAACAGCCTCTCTTTTCCAAAGTTTTGTGTGAGTTAGTGCCCCTAAAGAGCTTAGGACAAAGAAAAATACCTGGCATTTAGTAAGAGTTCAAGAAATCTTTGTTTCTATTTTCTAGACCCTCTGCAACTTTCTATAAGCTATAGCAACAAAAACCATGTGCAGTGTTGTAACCACAGAGGAAAGCCTGGGCTCAAAGGAGGTAAGGTATTGTTTTCTAATTTGTTTCATTTTTGATGATGTTCTTGAATATGCCAAGTTTTTTCTTAGCCTTTTTGGATTCTGTAGCCCATTGAGTGACTTCAGTAAAATAAAAACTTCTATAACCAGTTTCTGGGTAAACTGATAGTGCTACCAACATCATCCTATTTGGATAGTTTTTCTTCAAAATACTTTACCTAATGTCACCTCGCCCTATGGAAACTTATATTCACTAATGAAACCACAATATTTTTGTAATCATATAATCAAAGAATTTTATATATCTAGGAACAAACATTTTGACATCCTCTAGTTCAAACTAACTACAGATGAAGAAATTGACTCTTTAAAAGATTAAATGACTTCCCAAATCACAGATACTTCCATAACTTTTTCTCCTAATATACTGAATTATCTCTCTTTTCTGCACTTCTTTCTCATTAATGAAGCAATTTATTATTCAAAATAGTATGGTATAAATTCAGCTTTCCAGTCACACTAAAGGTTGGTTGAATTCTTCTTCTCACCACCAATCAGGAACCTGTACTGGAAGGTTGTTCCTGATTGGTGAAAGCCAGCTATAACAGTAGAATGCCAAGGAGTAAACACAAAAGCATAGCAACAACTGAGTTTACTGTCTCACTACCCTCGGCCTAGGCTAACCTGGACTCCTTCATCCCAAATGAGGTGGCCTCTACATTTTATATGAAGGCTTTGATTTTCCATTCACCTGTGATCCATCTTATAACATGGCAATCCAATACAGACAGGAAGATAAAACTGAATAAAATAAAGTGTATTCCCAGGTAAAATAAACAAATGCTTTAATGTGAAATAGATTAGTATGATCAGCTTCAGATACAAGGCAACAGGAAGGTACCAATGTATAAGAACTATACTATGGGCGGTGTCACCAAATCCTACTAGTGGCAGCAGCTGTGGTGGGTGACATGACCAATGCATTGTAGCATATAAATTCATAGTCAGAGAAGACAAATAGCTCTCATTAGCTTTGTGCGTGATGCAGATGTGGAAGATGGTTTTGCTTCTCATAGCTATAAAGGCCCTGGTTTCCTAAGAAGGAATATTCACAACCCAGAGCTGGTAGGTTGGTGCCCTGTACCTCAGCAAGGCAAGGAGGTTACTTTTTATGAGAGCCTAGTGGAATGGAGTCTCTTTTTGCATTTTTCTGAAGGAAGACATTTCTGTCTTATTTTTTATGTTTGTTTGCAGAAAACACATCGTGAAAACTGGATGAAGTTGACCAGTGAAAAGTTGCCCAAGAACTCCTTTTACGCCTCTCTATCCCAGTATGCTGCCAAGAACCAAAAATTCTTCCAACAGATAAAGGAAAATACTGGTACGAATTCTGATAATATTTTCACTAAAAGTTAATTCTGTACACTAGAGAAAAAAGAGACAAGAAATATGAATCTTATTGCTGTCAAAAAAGTGGTTAACTTTACAGTCCTTTCTAGCTTTTCTATGAGAATATGTGAAATTGGGGCTTGACTCATCTGGTAGCAAATCATCAGTGGAGAGGTTTCATAGAGCCTGATCCTGACTTCACACTCAGAATTTTAGGACACCCTTCTGGAAAAGGGAAGCTAGATGTCACTTCTATTAAGAACAATACCATAGTTTACTTCAAGTTGGCATTTAAAGCTATCATTTTTTTTTCTGTAGTCTTTAAAAATATTAAATTGGGGATGGTTAGCTCATTTGGTTAGAGTAGCTCTAATTAAATCTCAAATTAAGAATTTCCCTTACCCAGAGGACAGCTTTGCCTAAAGAATGGCACATAGACTGCATTGCAAGAGCTCTTGCCTAGAAGTAAACACAGTTACTGTGAAACCCAGTCAACCAGCATTTCTTCACTTGATCTTAGCCAAAAGGCCGAGAAGTGATCAACAAATATTTCTCGATTGTATAAGGCATAGTGTTAAGTATTGTGATAAGCCTTTTTGTTTGTTTGTTTGTTTGGTTGGTTTGTTTTTTTGTTTTTTTTTTAGGTAATGCTTTTTCCTTTAACTAAGGAAGCCAGTTTTAGGAATGAGAACTAGGAAGGAAACTAGTATAAATGGTGCCAGATGAATTGTAGATATGACTTCAAGAGAGAAGATTCATATTGTATGGATAAAGATGGAATTCTTTACCTTTTTAAAATCAGATCATTACAACCATGCTAATTTAGTGGATAAGGCACTGCAGATCTTGAAAGAAAGAATAAGAAGAGGGGATGCTGTGGCATATTTCCTACGAGGTCAACTATATTTTGAAGAGGTATCATTTTTTGTTTATTTGTTTTCATTTCACCTAATGCTGTTTTTAGATCCTTATAGAAAAATTTCCTGTAGAGTTCCTTACATTGTAATACCCAGTTGCAGCTTTAAGTGGGAGACATACACAGGTACCAGCTTAAGGAAACATCTGAACTTTCTTTATAAAAGTCATTCTAATGAAAGTCACTTATAGGAGACAGTTTGTATAAAATTCGTTCTCACGCTAATATAAAAATCTAATTTTTGTATTTTTGCCAAAAATATTTAATATCGCTTATAAAATATTTTCATGTTAATAACAGTTGAAGACCCTGATTCTTATCTAATATTTAAAGATACCTTATATGTTTCTCTATAGAGTAAGGAGGGAATTGCCCTCTTTATCCACATTAAGCTGAGGTATCCTACAAGGTAGATCTAGGAGAAACTGCAAACTGTCACTTCGACATCAATAATATAGCTTCAATCCTTCATTGAACCCAAGGGGAGAATGTGAAAAGAGACCAGCTGTCCGTAATCACTCACTATCCATTTAATATTTGGGCACTATTCACCTATATCCTACTCGCTCTGTAATCTTTTGACGGCTCCTTCATTCATTCTGGCAACAAATATCTGGTGAGGACTCATCATACACCTGTCACTATTAAGATAGCATAATATTTAAAAGAAAGATGTCTCAGCTTTGGGCATAGTTCGAATATGGTTCTATTGTTTGTTAACTGTTTATCCTTGGGCACAAATACTTAACCTCTTGGTGCTTCAGTTTTCTTATCTGTTAAAGGGGGATAATAATATGTATCTCACAGAGCTAGTGTGAAGATGTATTAATTATAAAACAGGGCCTAGCACCTAACAAGTGTTTTATAAGTGTTTGCTATTATTGTGCTAGGCACTAACTATATAGTGATGAAGAAATTAGAATGGTTCCCATTTCATAAAGTTTACAGTCTAGTAGGGGAAGTTGATAAATAATTATATAATTACAAATAGGGAAAAAGTACTACGAAAGCCATTAACTGCATACTATAATAGAAAAAAAAAAACCAGAAAATAATGGAAAGATCTGTTATTGAAACTAAAATTTGAAAAAGAGGAACTAGGCAATTCAAACAGCCAAGTGGAAGCACATTCCAGGTAGAGGGGAGAATAAATGAAGCGTTCCAGAGATAAGAAAGAGCTTTGGTGAGCTCTAGGAATTAAAAAAGACCAACGTGGTAATAAACAAGGCCAAGAGTAGCTCTAGATGCACTTTGTTTAAAATGTAATAAGAAGCCATTGAAGTGTTTTGAGTCTGTGATGAATGGATTAGAAAGCAAACATGGAAGGAACCAAGACCAATTCAGGGCAAAGTTATAACAGTTCAGGCAGGAGAGAATGGTGATCTTGAGTAGAGTGGTAGCAGTGGAGCTGGGTCCTGGATTTATTTTGGAGACACAATAATGGCATAATGGATTGTAAACAGAGAAGTGGGGAAGAGTGAGTTTTGAGGTGACGATCAAGAGTTCAGTGTTTGGACATGTTATGTTTGAAATGCCCATTTGTCATCAAGGTAGATAGGTTTCAAAGTAGAAACTTAACTTGTAAGAGTCTAGATCTCAAAGGAGAAGTTTGAGTTGAAGGTGTGTATTTCAGATCATCTAGCATGTATGTGGTATTTAAAATCATGAAAATTAAAAGAACTTAATTACTTCTTCTGTATATTCTAACTTTTCTAGCCTTCTCACAGCTAAGCCAAACATTAACCAGAAAAGAGAATAAATCTTAATTCAGGCATTTATTCCTGTTATGTGCTCTTTAAAAATAAATGTTTTTTAGCATTTTAGTGCAGTTTTTGTTCATTTTTTCAATTTGTCGATTAATTATAGTTTATGAAAAGAAATTCAGTTATTTTTATATTTTCCAAAAATTGTTTTTCTCTGCTCTTCTCATAATGACCTTCCAATTCAATAAGAAACTCTCCACATTACAAATGATTCATTTTTTAGTGTGAGGCATTTTCATGTTGGATTAAGATATAAACCCCATATTAGTCCCTTACATCTTAGGATATTTGTTATCAGATTGTCTGACTGCTGAAGAGCCTTAAATCAGTGACACATAATATATAGGTTTTCATAGGAAATGTGGGAGGAAAATAATATTAGAGAATCACACATTTGTTTTTCCATGTCTTCTCCCAAGCTGGAAAACTGCAAAACTGGAGGACATGAGTCATAATAATAGTGGATATTTAATAATAGTGAATATACTGATGTTCAAATTTTCTCTGAGACTTTGGCCCCAGCTCTGAAATGTCTCAGATTTCAGGAGTGGCAGATGATGTACCAAGCTCGATTGAGCAGAGGAATAGCATATCATTTAGAGAGAGAATTGACAATAACCAAGAATAAGAGTGAAAGACGATGAGAATGTTACCCAGATTGCTCCTCATCACTTTCCTCAGTTGCCATATTTAGGTCTATTTAATTGATTTTATAGTGCGTTGATTGTTGTCAGTGACTTACTAGCAAATTCTATAAATCTGTTGCTGTCTTTTGTTGTTTTATTTGATGCTGCTAGCTAGATTTAGGTGGGAATTGAATAATTGAAATTACTTCAAGATAATAAAAATAATTGACTATTTATTTCCTGGGCGCTTATAGGGATGGTATGAAGAAGCATTAGAACAGTTTGAGGAAATCAAGGAAAAAGATCATCAGGCAACTTACCAGCTAGGAGTAATGTATTATGATGGTCTGGGAACAACTGCAGATGCTGTAAGTTATTGTTTGCGCACAGTGTTTATGATTTCATTGTTAATGGATTATTTGATACAATTAAAATTATATTTTAATAATATATTTTTATTCTTATATTTCAACAATCTCTAACCTTTTACGATTTAAAGGATAGCAGTAGTCATTCTTACATTTGTCTGAAAACAAATTCTTTTTGCTCCTTCTTGCTACCATTAACTCAATAATTTTCTGTTTTAATGTTTTCCTTTATTTTTCAAAGTTATTCCAAGGCTACATAAACATGGAGATAAGCTGGAATATATGCAAAAATGGGATCAAATTCTGCTATCAAATATGAACATTGTTGTTATTTTAAAGTATATTCTTCCATGTATTGCCTCATGTAAAAATATGTGTGTGTGTATACACACACATGTAAAACTTTATTAAAAGTAACACATGTGGTATTTATAAAAAACAACTCTTGCAAAGCATACTGAAATATTTAGGGGTGAACTGTACTGATATTTACATATCTACAGATAACTTGTAAGAAGTCAGCAAAAGGATGAAGCATATACAGCAAAATATTATTACTAAGAATCTATATGATAGTTATGTAAATTTTTATTGTATTCCTTCTACTTTCCTGTGTGCTTGAAAATTTTTATATAAAAAGTAAAAAACATCTCAAACTCATAATTACTGCAGTCATTAGACAAATGTTAATTTGTCAAAATTCCCATTAAAAGAGAGTAAATATTAAGCAAATGACATAAAATTTTTTAATGGCTCAACAAAGATATGCAAAGAAAATGTCATAGAAACACAAATGGAAACTTAATGAGAAATGATAATTCTATAGTAATAAAACTCTGTTCAATATGAAAAACATAACAATACAGAGCCTGTATGTGCCAAACATCACAGCATCAAACTATGCAAATGAAATGTATTAAAAATAGACAAAATATTAAATTTAACTTTAATTTCTGAATTTGATAGATAATATTCAGTATATGATATGTAAATTTTATAAACTATGCAACATCTACATGATAAAATTCCTGACACAAAATTTTCAGACTCCTTGTTTCAGATACCAAAATTGAACATATACTAGGCATTTATGGTAAAGTATAAAGAAAATCACAATAAACACCCCCCGAAAAACATAAGTTATGTGTGACAATGCTGTTCATTCCTTAAGATTCAAAGAAAATGTATTCGGTTTGCCCTTATGCCTCCAATTTCATGGATTGTCAAAGTCAAAGAGCTTCAAAATTAATCTGAAATATTCAGATTCCCTATGTTCTCACAGTCCCCTTTGCTCTTCTTTTTTTGCCAATTCTTTACTCTGTACTCTTTATCTATGTGGCTGTTCCCTTATCTCTGCCTTAACATAGGTCACAGCCTATTTCCCTCAATGATCTCATAAAACAAGGATTTCACTTGTAGCATTGCTTCTGCTGAAATGTAGGGGACCGAGAGAGGACCACACTAGATCCCACATAGTGAACTTTAACTTGCTCGTCAGTCATTTCAGTTGCTCTCTGTTGAGGACTTCTCACTGGTTGCAGTACCTCACATGATTCTTCACAAACTTGCTAAGTTCTCTTCCTGCCTCACCCTTTCCCCTTTCTGGGTCTTTTCCTTCTACCATCTCCTTCACTGATGCAAAAATAAATTTATCTCACTTTCTCATACAACATAGTTTAGCCATCTCTATATCTGCCTTTCTTTCATTCAGGTCTCTGTTCAAATAGTATTTCCTATCAAAGCTTTTCTACGGCCATGTTATCAAAATAGCCTCCTTTATTTTCTTCACAGACTTAATGATTATCTCAGTTATTTCTTCCTGCTTAACTTGTTTTCTCCCTAATTGGAATGTAAGCTCCACGAAATTAGGGGTTTTTGTCTATTTTCTTCACTGCTAAATCCCCCAGGAATTTAGAACAGTGTCAGACCCACAGTAAACCCTCAACAATGTTTACTGATTGACCTGTGGCTGACAAGCTGACAATGCTGTTATCTAGGTATTCTCTCAAGGGGCTTTTTCAAAGCGTTTTCCTAGAGAAAGTTAATATTTCTCTAAGAAAAATTATGGTGGCACCTGTGAGGATAATCAAATATTTGCCCTTGTTACAAACAATAATACATTAAAAGGATAGAATAACCAAGTAAGATTTAACTCAGAAATTTAATAATTGAACATAAGGAAATTGATGAATTTACCATTTCTGGGGCTCTTAATTCCTTCCTATCAACCTGAGTTGCCATCTGCCACCATTTCCCCTTTTCTTTCAATCTGAAATACATTAAAAGGATAGAATAACCAAGTAAGATTTAGCTCAGAAATTTAATAATTCAACATAAGGAAATCGATGAATATAGAACTTAAATTAGCTTGAATAAAAGAAACCATCTGATGGTTTCAGTATGTATTGAAAATTTCATAAAGCTCAATATTTATCCATAATAAAAACCTTTAAAAAACAATACTAGGAAATAGTTCTTTAAAACTTAGGAGTAGCCATATAGAGTTAAGAGCCCAAACTAGAGATAGTCCTTTTACAAGGAGAAATAAAATATTTTCCACTACTCACACTGACCTACTCTTACTGTCTCCTGACTATCTTTCAAATCTGTCTCTGGCCCTTTATTCCCATTCTGTTTCACTCAGGCTCACCCTCACTCGGGTTATACCAAAAGCAAATCCAATTTCTGCTCTTGTCCCTAATTCATCATTCATTTATATAGTCACCAAAGCCATCTTTTCAAAATACAAATCTGATCATGTCCTGTTCATCTTTAAAAACTTAGAAAGACCTTCACATTAATGATCAAAAGAAAAGGGCACAATTGAGACCGTTTCTATGGACAGCCATCTTGTTGGCCACTGAGCAGCCATATAAAGTAACATTTACATGGTAAAGTCTTTAGTGTCCAAACCAACAACTGCCATTCCAAACCCTCACCCAAGCCCCAAGTTTGCTGTCTGCCTGCTTGCTGCCGTCACTGGGGCTTCACCAGGCATCACGAGGCCAACCCACTGTGATTGTATCTGAACTAGACGCCAGAATTCCATTTGGAACCTTGACTTCACTTGGTCCCATAGCTGTATTATCACTGCCTACCACATAAAATGTATGCCTCTCTGGTCCTCTGTCTTCTCATATATTCTTGACTCCATATTACTTTGTTTTCTCTCCCTCTCTGCTGCCATCCCTCCTAAACCTTCTAGCTGGTAAATAAACTTCCCCATATCCTCAGGCTTTTCTCAGACTACTTCTTTCACTTCCTTGCCATAACCGAAACTTGCTTGTGTCTGACAAGCAGCCCTCTGTAGGGGAGGATTCTCCTTCCACTATCCCAGTGTACTATAATGCTCAAAGTAGAGCTGGCATTATTTTCATTTCCCAATTCACTTTTCAAACTATTATCTCTCCTCTACCCCATATACAAGGTGTCCCTATTTTTAAGTTCATATCAACTCATTACTCTCCTACTTCTTTCAATTTCCTGGTCATTGGTCATGTGCTAACATGAATCTTAAAGCTGTCTCTGGGATTACAGTTTTCCTTCCTGTGTTATCTCATCAGTTTACCTGACATTTGAACTAAGAACTGAGCAGCAAGAAGGAGCAACCATATGCAAGTGTAGGGGAGTCACATTCCAGGCAGAGGAAATCACTAGTGCTAAGGCCTGAGGAATGAAAAGGCTAGTACAGCTGGAATGTAGTCAAACCAGTAAGACAGGTGCCAAACAACATGGGACTTGTATTTATAAGTATGTGTATCTTTTTATGTGTGTTGCATATTTACCATTTCTGGGGCTCTTAATTCCTTCCTATCAACCTGAGTTGCCATCTGCCACCATTTCCCCTTTTCTTTCAATCTGAAGAACTTCCTTTAAAGGGCATTTCTTGGAGTACAGCCTGCAGGTGAAGAATTATCGCTGATTTTGATCATCTAAAAATATCTTCAGTTTGCCTTTATTTTTGATGAACCGTTTTTGCTGGTTGACTGTTTTTTTTTCTTTCTGCACTTTCTAAAATCTTCTGGCCTTCATCGATTCTCATGCGAAATCAGTAACTAATTATATCGTTTGCCCCTCTATATAATGTGTCATTTTTCTCTGGCTGTTTTAAGATTTCCTGTGGCTTTCAGCACTTTGACTATCACGTGTGCCTAGGGCAGCTCCTTCTGTTTTCATCCTGCCTGGGCTTCCAGTTGCAGTTTTCAAAGATTCCCTTCTCCAGCTTATGTTTGTTTTGATAAAATTTCCAGTGCCTTTAAAAAGTTGTCTTTATGTTGTGTCCAGATTTAATCATTACTATATGTGAGAGGATTTACACAACCACTTCACTCAACTGCCATTATTACCTTAAGTGCCCTCTTACTATCCAGTTGGGGGGAAATGGTAGATGCCTACTTCACACATTCACAAAAATAAACAAGTGTAACCTGGGACTCACTAAAACACCTTTATTTTCTCATCTATTACTGTGGCATTTAGCCAGCAACAGCACATTCAGAAAACAGTGAGGGGGTAAAGGCTAGAATGTAGTGTATCAACATGATTGTCGATGATTGTCAAATATCATTTTCTTTAGAGTGATGTTTGAAGGCTTGTGTCTGATGGATTTTTGGAGTGGGGGCAAGCCTTTCGTTGCTAGTGGTTAGAATGTCTTCTGGGCACTCCTTGTGACTATGAAGATGCCATATGATGATTTGTATATTGGATGTACATTATCATCGAGCACACTTAGTGAAAAGTGCGCTTGAAGAGAGAAGATAGCATGTGTTTGGGGCTCATAAGTATACTGTAAGAATTACAAATGTGAAAGAAGCCACAGCTATACTTGTACGTTGATCAGTTCCAAGAACTGTGCTGATTCAGAATAAGGACTAGAAGTTGGGAGAGACAAGAAAAAAAGGAACCCATATCGAGATGTAATGCAACTCTGGAAGCTGTAAAATGAGAGATGCTGGGAATGCCTACTCAGATGTCCTAGTACTTCTTTCCTTCCTTATTTCCAGCCCTGCAGACTCGAGGACAACATACCACTTGGGCAAATACAGTCATTACATTGTATCACGTTAGGGGGGAATGCTTTATAACATTATTGAGAGAAAGAATTTAGTTTGGGTAAAACTAAAAACTAGGGGGTTTTTGTGTGTGTTCTTTTCCTTTGTGGAAGGAAAAAGGAGTGGAATATATGAAGAAAATTGTTGATTCTCCATGTCCCAAAGCAAGACACTTACGATTTGCAGCTGCTTACAACCTCGGAAGAGCTCATTACGAAGGAAAAGGCATTAAACGATCAGAAGATGAAGCCGAAAGGTAATCCTAATGTGAAAACAAGACTTTGTTTTAATCAAATGCTGAAACAAAGAACAACTTGCCTTGTCTTTCTCTTTTAGACTGTGGCTTTTTGCTGCAGACAATGGAAATCCAAAAGCTAGTGTGAAGGCTCAAAGTATCCTAGGATTGTATTATTCAACAAAAGAGCCCAAAGAGTTAGAAAAGGTAACATTGATCTATTCTTTTTTTAATGCTAGCATTATATTTAGATTAGTATTTGGCTTACTATTTCTTTTTCGAAAGAATGGTTGTGAGGAATAAGTGTGTAGTTATGAATCTCTCAAATTTCTTCAAAATGTACAGGAAGTTTACATTTTAGAATCTTCACCTTTTGCTCATCTATGACTGCTACTTTCTCTGCCTCTACCAAAGGAGACCAAATGTGAGAGCATTTTGTATGCTATAAAAAGCTACACATACAAAATATTATTATTCCATAAAAGCTATAAAAAGAGTCCTGAAGTAAAGCCCAAATCCTTTTATGTGAATAAATTACTACATTTGATTTGAGGAAGTAACAATAATACTAATAACTAAAATATACTAAGAACTTATTAAAAATTAAATCCATTTAAGATTTTTACAGAAAAATAATATCTTTAATCATCAATACTTGCAATATTTTCTAAGAAATCTTATAGGTGGAAAGATATGTAGGGCTGAGTCCTACTTGTAAGGGGCTTTAAAGACAAACTTGTAAGAGGCATCTAAGACCCTCCTCAGATAACTGAGCAGCCACTTGGAAATAACTTTTTAAACTAATTTATATTCACGGTAGCTGAGTTTTAAGCAGATGTGCTCAAGCCTCTGTGTAGCTTTTATCCTTGATTGCCTTTGATCTTGAAAGCACCACCTTTGAGATCCACTCAGAGCTCTGACTTCCCTGAGCATCAGCAGCTATGCCCTCTTGTCTATGCCTCATAGCTGCTGTGTCTCAAAGCCTTGCAGACACTTCATTCCTATTCTCCACTTTCTTGATCCTTCCTATAGATAATGTGAAAATACTGAAACCAGAGACAGCTGAACTCTCTAGACTGTGACCTCACCTGCACCATGGGGTAGACAACAGGCGGCCTCACCTTAGCACTCTCTCAGGCATAAGAAATCGGTGTTAGCCTAAAACACCTTCAAGGAGCTAGAACTATTTCCTAGAGATGAACTAATAGGACTATCTTATCATTAGAGACTTTTTTCCTTCCAGAATTTCCTTATGAATAACAAAATGAAACTGTGTCTTTTAAAAGGCATTTTATTGGCATTCAGAAGCATGTGGCAATGGGAATCTGGAGTCCCAGGGTGCACTGGGGCTCATGTACTTTTATGGACAAGGCATCCGCAAAGACCCTGAGGCGGCCCTGCAATGCCTACGGGAAGCGGCGGAACGTGGAAACGTCTATGCTCAAGGGCATCTCGTGGAGTATTACTATAAGATGAAATTTTTCACAAAGTGTGTTGCATTTTCCAAAAGGTAAAAAGGCTGGATGAATGTATTTACAAAAATTCTTACTGGATGCTCTATGCCAGATGTGTTCATAGAACTTGCTGCAATATTGTAAATGATGGCTATCGAGAGCTTGAAACGTGGCTAGTGCAACTGAGAACGGAACTTTTAAATTTCCTTGGATTTTAATTAATTTAAGCAGCCACATTTAGCTACCATATCAGATAGTACAATTCTGTGCCATTAGTCTTCAGGATTTCAGTGCTATTAGCTCTGTATACCAGCGAGCTTAAGCAAGTTTCTTAATTTTGGGGCCTCAATTGCTTTATAAGAAAATTTTTATAAGAAAATACTTATGCAGGATTACAAAAAGTGTATATAAAGTACTTAAGATAGCTTGATCAGAAATGTTTATTAAAGAAGTTTTCATTTCTTCCTCCACCCTTAGCCACAGGTTCTATAACTACACAATTGCAGTATAGCTTGATAAGGACTATAAAATGAGAATAATGTTTAAAAGACTCCAACACTAACATCTTATAAAATATTTGGAAATTTCCATAAAGTATATGGAAATTTCTTTTCTCTGAGCCCACGTACTTTCCTACATTTATTTACCCATTATGTACAAAAGCAACATGCTTTTGGATGTGCTCTAGAGCGGCTGTAAAACCAGGCTGATATATTTCCCTTCCTGCAGAGCCAACAGGCTCCATTCCTCCCTAGCTGGGTCTGAGGAAGGCAGGGACGTAGAGGATGAAGGAGCCGCTGCTTCTACTCTCTCCTCTCCAAGATTTGGCTTCCAGGCAGCAGGTCACTTAAAGGTGTGATCTCTAATGTCCCAAATCTCTAAGTGCCCATGTGATTAAAATTAAGACTTTAAATAGTTCTTAAAATCTTTGAAACTTTCCATTGTTTGCCCACATTCCTATTCCCGATTACATTAGGGTTGACATGGAGTTGACTAGATTTCATTTTCACACAATTCTCCATATTTGTGTCTGGGTTATAAAAAGATGTGCAAGTTTCTTAATTTTTTTTCTGGTCCTCTGTGACTGAAGTCCAAACTTAAGGCCTATGTTTAAATAAATGATCCAAAGAAATTGAAAATACTTTTTCTCCCCCATTGTTAAAACCTGCAAAGTGATATTAAGTTTAAAATATTAATATTACAAGGAAAAGAACCTTTCTTTTCTAGTGGCTGTTAAACCTGATGAGTATAATCATGGGGAAGCTCTACAGCAACCACTCCGGTAGTTCCTCTTCCCCTGGTGTTAACTGACTATTATACTTACCCTTCGCTGTACAACAACTTTAGCTCTCAAACAGGTAGAAATGGGGAAGTTACTTTGGGCAGAAGGACAATTTCTAGCATGTCGCTTGTAAAACTGTAAACCATAACTGATATCCTTTTCATTTCACAACTTACATCATAACAGGATCGCAGACTATGATGAGGTTCACGACATCCCCATGATAGCCCAAGCCACGGACTGCCTCCCGGAGTTCATCAGCAGGGGCATGGCCATGGCCTCTTTCTACCACGCACGATGCCTTCAGCTGGGCTTGGGGATCACAAAGGATGAGGCAAAAGCTACACACTATTATTCTAAAGTAAGTAAGCCTGAGGACAGATATAAGTGGAATTGAATGGAAATTTCTAGGTTTTTATAGTTGAGACTTAAACATCTTTATGGATTAGTGATTTTTCCTCAATTACTGTGCAGATAACCTCTGTCTACTGAGAGGTGGTCAGCCATACAGATTGCCTGTAGACAATTATGTCAGATTCTTATTGGCATAATTAAGCTCAGAGATAAAAGTCCTATTTTCATGCAAATTATTCTCTCTCTGATATTATATGCAGCCTAAGGCCCAGCATCATAACCTTAAAGCCAGAAAGTTCATGGGTCTTTTACTCAGAAAAAAAGTATGAATCAATATCCTCATTCTAGTCACTTAATGAAATGTAGTTTTTAAAAAAGATTTTTGTGTGACATCTACCACATTTGGGAGGAATATTCATGAGTTTGTAATCAATTTATTTCACATCTAAAATCAAGCAACTGTTAAAAGTGGGGAACGGATGATGAGAAAGGGGAAAATCATAGTAACTACAAGTGAACTTTTAAAAAAAGAAATAAACAAGACTGTGCATGCCTTATGTGGATGACATTCATTAAGTTCAAATTAGAATTACATCATTATAAAATTTATAAAGCAATTCATGAAATGCACAAATTGTTCAGTTTGAGCAGAAGAACAAGGCAAGGAACAATTTCCTAAGTCCCTTGCCTGAATCTGATCTTATAACAGACTATTAAAACTGCCTGGGGATCTTTGAAAAATTCTAAAACTAGGGCCTCATTTCAGAACAAGTCAACCTCTGTCTCAGGCAGTGGGACACAAAGTGTATTTGTTGAAGTGCCTCAGGGGATTCCAGTGAGCGGACAAGTTTGAGAACCCTAAATTAAAGAATTTTGTTTGAAATTAAAATTTCCAGAGCATTAAGCTCATATTAATACATATAAAAACAAAGTACACAAATACAACTGATCTTTGAGGTATTTACCAGTACACCATTCTATTAATATGAGTAAGTTGTTTTTTAACAATCTAAATGTTCTATGTATATATAATACCTCTTTCCAAACCAAGTCAATTTCAGACTGTATGCTATCCTTAGCATCCTCTATAAATAAATATAAGCAGAGAAAACTTTGGGTCAAAAATATCCTGAAATTTGGTATATGTTCATCCTAAATAAAAGAGCAAAACAAACTACTTGTAATCTTAGAACAATTTTCCATATAGTGGGAGATAACAGCCACAGTACTCAGTTTTGACTATTGTATTTTATGGCAGATACTTTTAAAATGGAAAAAATTCAGATGTAGTAAGCCAGTAAAGGGTCTGGAATCGTGTCAGAGAAAAAGGACACGAGGGGGTCCTGAGTGGTCTTCACCAGACTGAAAGGCTGTCCTGTAGGAAAGGAACTGTGGGAGGGAGCAGTATGTCATGGGAAAAGGTGAGGCCCGAGATGGCAAAGACAGTGGTCTCGGCTCTGCCCATCAGGCTGAGTGACTACCAAGCACTTCGCCTCTCAAGGTCTGTATGAATCCAGCATTATATGTTCTCCCAGGGCCCTTCAACAAATGATTCTAGAGTACATGAAGGGAAATTTTAGCTTAATATAAAGAAGAATTTTCTAACACAACTGTTCAGGAAATAACGTTTTCCCTATAAGATGGTGACTTCTTGCCACTAGAAGCAACAAAGCAAATATCTAGTGACCAATTGTCATGGGTACCAAAGTGACAATTTCTGCATGGAGTGAGGTTTGGATGAGATAACCTCCGATGTCTTATCCCAATTCTTCACATTTTCTGAAATTATGCACTATTACTTGTCACTATTTACTTTAGTCATAATAAAACTATGTATTTTAAAGTAAGAATACAGCTGTGCTGCTATTCACAATGAGATAATAAGTTTGAGGCCAAATGCTTTCCGTATTACTTACTTTAGTAATTCATAATATGAAATTTATATAAAATTTCCTCTTTCAAATGATAACAGCATGGTTATTTTTAGTATGATTTTTTTTTGCAGAGGCTAATTTGAACTTCCCTTATCAGAATAGATATGTATTTTAATTAAGAAACTCCCTTGAAATTTATTGTACTTTACCATTCTTAAAAACAAACCAAAATTTTTTTAAAAGGAAGAAAGAAGAAAGACACAACAATTCAAGGTATATTGAAATAACTGACTCTATCTTTGATTTTAAGGCTTGTCGTCTGAATCCCGAACTGACGGATGAACTTCATGCTTTACTTATTCGTCAAAGGATTTAGACCTTAGTGTATTTCAACAAAGATCATCAGTCCTAATACCTTAAAATGTGTGTATTTTTATAGTAGATATGTTTGGTTATTTTCTGCATCCCAAGTTAGTTACATTATCCTGGTTATTTTACTGATGACATGTTACCTTCGTTCTCAAATTTGTGTTCTGTAACTTACAACTTGAAACCTAGCTAAAGGGTCAAATTGCTGGAAATTTCCTCAAAGATCCAGCTCTTAGCCTATAGACTGGCCTAAACCACATCAAATATTGAAAACCATTCCAGAAAGCAAATATCTTTTTTTCCTTTCTTTAAATTCAAAGTATCACAAAAGACTTAGTGCAGTCTTAGTTTTAATAACTTCAGAAGTATATATGCTACAAACTAAATTGGTACAGCCACTCTGGAATACAGTATGGAGGTTCCTCAAAAAGTTAAGAATTGATCTACCATATGATCCAACAATCCCTCTACTGGGTATTTACCCCAAAGACTTGAAAAGTCTTATCAGAAAAGGTATCTGTACACCGATGTTCATAGCAGCATTATTCACAGTGGCCAGGGCATGGAAGCAACCGAAGTGTCCTACAATAGATGACTGGATAAAGAAGCTGTGGTACATATATACAATGTAATATTACTCAGCCATAAGAAGAGATGAAATACTGCCATTTGCGACAGCATGAATGGACCTCGAGATAGTTAGGCTAAGTAAAATAAGCCAGACAGAAAAAGTTGAAAACCACGTGACATCACTTATATGTGGGATATAAACCTAAAAGCAACAAATGAACAGAACAAACAGCAGTGACTCATGGACAATAAACTAGTGGTTACCAGAGAGTGGTAGGGAGGGGGAAGGTAGAAGGGGTAAAAGGGGTCAAATATGTGGTGACAGAAAGAAATCTAACTATGGATGGTGAACACACAATGCAATGTATATATATGCCTTACTATTGAATTGTACGCCTGAAACTTAACTGGATTTAGTTAATCAATGTCACTATAATAAAAATTAAAAAAAGAAAAAAATATATGGGTTTTGAATTTTTCATTTTAACTAAACTTTTAAATTTAAAATTCATAAAAATAAGAAATAAGAAATTTAAAGAAAGTTTCAAATAATTTAGATACATTTGTGTAGCACTTATACTTCTGAAATTATTAAAGCTAAGACTGTACTAAGGCTTTTGGGACATCTTGTAGTTTCAAAAGTTTCCTTATAAATAATTAGCTGATTTATGTTAAACTTCAAAAACAATGAGTTTAAGAAACTGTTTAGAATCATGCCTCTTCATATCCCTTAAAAACCTTAATTTAATGAGTAAAACAACTGCTATATTTCTGATATCAATTAAAGCAAGATGTTCTTTGTGCTTTAACTCATTTCTAAATTTTAAAAAACCTAAATGTATTTCAAAGCAAGATAAAATGTAAAAAAAATCTCAATGAAATCATCTATCAATATAAAACTATAACTAAATATCATTAAAAAATTAAATAAGAGGCTTTCCTGATATCAATGACATCTATAAAGACAAAGGTTGACAGTAAAAATAGTAGAATCCATAGGCAGAAGATTATACAGTGATATAGAGCTGCAAATCAAATATACTAAAAATGATATGTCTTAAAAATACCTTAAGAATATCTTTTTTGTAAACATACTAAACTAATGTGGCTTTATTTTACAAATCAAAACCATCCTTTCTGAAAGTGGATTTAAACAAAATCTCGTTTTAGTAGTGGGAAAATGCAATTACTATGTAGATAGCGGTCACTGAAGAAGTATTGCATGGCAGAAATTACTTTGCTTTTGTTTTATGTTCTGGTTTGCCTATATTACTTGAACTTCATTTTGCTTTTACATAAAAGGAAGAAACTTCAACAGACTTAGGTCTGTGACATTCTCTCAACTGGTCATATACTTCTCCATAAAATCTCTTAAAAAATATAAACTTAAACCATCCCTGAAAGCCACTCCTTTTCTTTTAATATCTCTATTGAAGACTCTCCATTCTCCCCCAGTAACATGTTTCAATATCTCAAGCTGTTAGATTTCATACCTAACTTAAATCTTTCTATAATACAAGCCCACTTGCTTTGCTCTTGTTCTAATATCATCCATATACCACTTTTTCAATCATTTGAAGATCCAAATTCACAACCAATATTCTCTTCCCCACACTTAATCTAGTTCCCTAAAACTTTTTTTTTTTTTTTTAATTTTTGTGAGTTTATTTGAGCCAAACCGACAGCATATGCCGGGGAGCAAGATATCAAATGCTCCCCTTAAGCTTTTCTTAGAATCTTAAAATAGCAATGTAAGAAAGCAGTGTATGTTGACTTTAATAGAACATTTAATAGATCTGCTATATTTCTTCATCCTAAAGTAAAGAACACTTTTTTAACTGCTATTAAAACACAGGTCTGAGAAATCCTAAATGTAGAAATTTGATGTGTCATGTGGTAATATGCTATGCTTAAATATCTTCGGTGAATCCAACACAATTTAAAATTTCAGTTTATGTAGTTACCATAAAGCTGGTGCTTCTGGCACAGGTGAGCCGCTGCAAGCTACCACTGCTGCAGACTGTGGTGGACACCTTGACCTGTGAGTGGAGTCAGTCAGACTTAATTTAAGTGAGTTAAGGCTTCCAGATCATTAACCTTTTGAAAAAATCAAAACTTCAGTAAGATTCCCTATCGGAGATATATCATGAAAAATAAGAATTTATCTTAAAGGTTAAGTAGTCAATATAGTTATTTTTTTTTCTCATTTGCAGTATAGACAGCTATCGTTTAATTATGCATGAGATGGACATTTCCAGGAACTGTGTTATGATGAGTTTCTGGGGTTTGGTGACTTCATACTGCTTCTCTTCTCTGAATGTCTTTTCTACATCACTCTGAAGGATCATTCTTATTCGTATAAATAGCCAAATTTTTTTTTTCCCTAAGTGTCATATATTCTGGTTTGAAAAAAAGAATCAAAGAGCTGAAACTATAAGAATCGCAAAGATAAAATCTGGTTTACTAATGTTTAATCATTTATCTTTCAGAACTTTTGTTTCACATCAAGAACTTGGCAGATATGATCTATCAATGATATAGTCAATACTGCTTGTAGATAGAAGTTTTCTTTCATAGATTCAAACTGAATTCCTGCCTACTAATTGTTTTGTTTTCAATATTCTTGGAGGTTAGAGAGAGGAAAGTGTTTTATTATTACTGCATAATAGATGCCAAAACACAGGAAAATTGATTGAATTGTCCATTAATAGTGGGGCCAGTATTAATAGCAAAACATCCATACCCTGGATCTCACCTAGTGCCCCTACCAGTCTACAAGACTTGATGATATAATCATGTCCTCAAACTCCCCAAAGTAACTTCCCCCCACCTTCTGTTCCCCTCTCTCATTCCCACTCATCCTTCAAAGTTCAGCTCACATCCTGCCTCCCTAACGCATCATTTCAAGCACTGATTTGGCTCTTCTCATTCACATTAAAATCTTATTTTTCACATACTCATTCTGTGTCTGGAGAAAGGCAGCAAAGTTTACATTTCCTTGCATAAATACCTACATACACAATGTTTTCTGCAGAAAAGGCACTTGATAAATATTTGAACTGCCTGAAGTGTTTCAACTCTTTTTTTTTTGTTGAGATATAAGCATCTTAAATATCATAGAACTCTAGGATTCATTTTTATATTTTATTGCTTCAAATGCTTAAAACTATGGGAAATCTTTGGTAAAAATAAAGACAATAAAATTTTCACAATAACTTTACACAAAGCATTGCACAACAATGTTCAGTCACATGAAATAATATAGGAATGTTCAGAATCCTCAACGAGGAAATTAACTGTACAATATTCATAGTTCTTCATTTTAAAACAAAACTGTTCTCATAAATATTTAAAATATTTCCTAGGCTCTTAACACATATTAACATTTGTATTTCAATCAGTATATTGAACTCTAAAGTATTTATATTCTTATTAAAATAAAACCCAATAATTAACAGAAGTCTTTTTTTCCGTTGCCTACTACAGCATCAAGTCTGCCCTCTCCGCCCCCATTTCTGCTTACTTCACATAAAACTAGAGGGAGGTAACTAAAATAAAAATCAATTTTGTTCTCAGTCAAACCCTCTGTGGAAAAGAGGAAAATGTTTCATGTCTATTATTACACAGACATTTCTCTGGTGGTTTATTTGTGCAGCTTCAAACTTGACCAGCTTTAAGTTGATCTAAATGAGCTCTCAGCTCAGGACACAATTCAATTAGCAGCAGTTCCATCAGCACCTGAACCAAGAAAGAAGACAAAAAGAGTAGAAAAATGTTTTTTCTCTAAGGATTTACTCAAATAACTCTACATTTAAGAGAAAAGTCCCATTTTAGGTCTGAGATTTTCTCAGTGAGCAAGTTACTCTCAAACAGATGGAATTAATAGTTATTTCATGGTCTCTTTACCAATATCAAACCATCGACAATATTTAATATTGCTACAATCAGATGACTGGGAAAAAGTATGTTAAAAAAAAAAAGCCGAGCAAAACCGAACATACAGAAATGTTGGACATCAAAAGTCAAGAGAGACAAATAATATGAGAGAGTGAGGATGATGCATCCACCAGGGGCACTTTTTTCTTTGCTCTCTTTTTTTCTCCCAACCAAATTGAACGGACAAAAATGAAGCAGAGAAAATGGGTTGAGAGATACAAGTAATAAGAATGATTAAGAATATAAAGAATTAAAATCTACCCTTATATGTGACTAGAAATGTAAAATTGAAGAAATAGTTAACTCTTTGGTAGGCTTTAAATTACTCACATATAACAGATGCTTATTGGCTCTTGTTTCTTGCAGTGCATTGAATATTTTTATTATTCCATGACGGGCATTTTGCTGTCCAACGAGGCTCTGAAGCATATCTGAAAAATTAAGTTTATATTCTGTTGCTATTATTGATAAAGTCCACATGCTCAGACATTCAGTGAAGGAGATATTACATGATATGTACAGAATAAATAAGGACACCAAGGCATGAGAAACATGATCAGTTTTTTCAAATGTTTAAAGAGAAAACAAGTTTATTTAGAATTTTTCAACCTTATAAGGCACTTATACAAACTATGATTTTAATACATTGCTACCCAATTAAAAATTAAGCTCTCAAAACAGTGTACTTTAGTAGGATTTTTAAAGCACAAAATTTATTAGCTGTTCTGAAACATTTTTCTAGTTAAAGTATTATAACCAGTACTGTTCTTGTTCAGGATCCTCGGTGTAATTTCTTAGCAAGGGGCAAGACATAATTTAAAAGAAAAAAAGAGTGATTATTTTTTTTTCATTGTAAACACTGTTTCTTGAGAGACATAAACGAAGAACATTTAGGTTAAGTGAGCTAACATTCCCTTTCTATCTCTGTACTTGCTCCGCAGGATCAGAACCCAGGCCTCACCTGGAATGTTTTCAAGTAGCTTCTGCTGTGCTCTCTGTTTTGTTTCCTGGCTTTCTTCTTCGCTTCTGATTTTGGTTGGTGGTGCCAATTTCCCATGTGGCCAAAAAGCATCCCGGAAAACGGTGATGTAGTAAACGAACAT